ATCATTCCAATAAAAGCATATTTGAATCAACATTAGGTAGTTCTTTCACTGAACGGGACTTCAATTTACTTGGTGGTTCAAGGAAAATGTTATTAATAATACAGTTAGATAATAATAAGATCATTATTTATTATTAATTAATTATTAATTTATGCATATATTTTGGCGACTAAAATTTTTCACTGGCGACCAAACCTGAACAGTCAGTGACCAAATGGCCACTAAGGAAAAAAGTTAACTTGGAGGGTTGCAGTTAGTAATAATAAGTACATGTAAAATGGAATACAATGTACATTCCTCTGTTTTGCTCTGATGCACTATAAAACATGAATTTATTTAACTGAAACATTTAACCAGTAGACAGTAGTGTCATAATTTAAAGTCAAGACGTCGTATTTTGTGCTCATTTAAGGCCAAAAATGGACAAAAACATAAAGCCTGGTTCACCTTTTTAGACAAGCACAAGGGTTAACACAAGCACAAGGCTGTTCACACTAGAGACATATGCATGTGCTGTGCGAGTTACATCACTGAAACAAGATGCCGATTGGTTGAATTCTTGCAGTTATGCTTCTGCTCATTTCATGCCAGCTCCCCACTGGTGAAATAATGTTTTTTCTTGTGTTTATGCTTATGCCTATTGCACTTCGGTGCACAGTTATGTTTTCTTGTGCTTATGCTTGCGCTTATTTCACCTCTGAGCATACTAACATTTTCTTGTGGTTACACTTGTACTTCTCTCCAAATGTCAACCAGGCTTAAGTATGCAACAACAACGAACTTTATAAAGATAGGATTGATCATCACAGTTACATATACACAACGCATTATAATTCTACTTGTAAAAACTTCCTTGGATAACTAATTAAAGTAAATAGATATTAAATAAGATAACAGATAAAGTTTCAAAATTTCCTAGCTGAGGGAAATTCTCCTTGACTAATTATTGTGGACACTAATTTTTCCATTTGATTAATCAATTAAAAATGTGAAAGTTACAATCACTTAACCTATATTTTACAATAAATATCTCAATATTAAAATGTGCACTGGGAACTCATGTGATGTATAGACCGCAACCCTTACAATTATTGATGTTGCTAACGAGAGCAGAGAGATCCTGTTTGGATATTCAAAATTGAAATGTTGTATAGAGAACTTCATAATATAAATGTCAAAAAAATCAAAAAAAATCTTATATGATTTTCATGAAACTGGTCAGTTTAGAAGTCACTCATTTTTATTAGTATATTCTGACTTGAAATGATTCAGTTTCATACATATACATACATACATCTTTTCTTGTTGGTATGTTTTTGTTATTGAGCATAATAACTTAGTATTTTGTCATAAGTAAGCTAGTACTTACATATTATGTGTTATTGTCACTAATCTTACAATATCTGATATTGGTGTTTAGATGGCCCAACATCACTGTCAAACTATTTAGACTGCAAGCAGAGAGGAGTGACTGGAGCAAAGCGAGGGGCTATCAAGTGGGCAATCAACAGAGACGTCACACTTGGAGAAGGTATAAAAAATTGTGTCACACTGTTGGAGCTAGTATCAGATTAAAGGGCAGCCAGCATACTTATAGGCAAGACGCACCAACATAGTACAGTGCAATACTGAATGCAGTATTTAACACTGACAAGAAATATATTCACAACACTGTTCAGACTATTCTAAAGTTATCTAAACTCAGTTATAATTGCATGTAGTGTGTTTGGACTGGTGGTTTGATCTTTGGACTCTGTCAGATTGATCGGTGAGGGATCTGGATCTCTGTCAGAATGATAGGTACAGGATTGTTTTCAATTGTTGTCCTGTGTTCCTGGGTGTCACACTCTACTTTCACATCCACAGAAGGATTTGCAGGATTGGGCTCTTACTGATGTCTTTTTAGATGTGGGAAAGCCCCTTTATCTTTTTCATAGATCTTCTTCATCTTGATAACTAGAGCCTCTTTCTATCCAGCATTTAAAACAATTATTTTAGTTATCTAAGATTTTCTTTTCCTCTCAGTTTTGGTACCTGTAAATGCAAAGTACTCTTAGTTGGTGATTACAAAAAAATGAAACAATACTTCTGTACATGTACAGTGCTTTTCATAGCCATACTTTACGGGCTGTATTAGGCTGTTGCATGGTATTGTGGTAAAATGTACAGCTGCCATCTTTTTTCCTATGGAGGATTGGGCTAGTGGATTTTGTCCTTCACTTGCCTGATAGGCAAGTAAGGTTTTGTGGGAAATTTTTTAAGGAAATACCGTTAAGAGATCTCGACTGAAGAATGTTTGGGAGGGTTAATGAGAATGACTTTCAGGTAGCACATCATACTTACTAGCTTGCCCTTTTGGGTTAGCTAGAAAATTTGTCTTTTTTTAATCATCCTGAATAGGAGAAGAACTTTCTCAACACTTGTCTCTTCTTTAATGATGATTTCATAACCTTCTATTTTTCAGTTGAAAACAAGTGTATTTTCAAGTACATACATGGCAACACCAGTTCTGTGAAAGCCATAAGCCCTACTCTTTACATCTACAACCCTTATGCTGAGGTAACGAAGTTGTTTTCTCGCATATGAGCAAGTTTGTCAGATGCAAATGAATTTCATTTACCTTGATTTCTATTTTCCACAGCTTGCGTCACCTCATGGGAGACCACGCCTTGGGTCACTGGTCCCCCAAGAGACTCTGTTGGAATTCTCCATTGCAGGTAAAATGAAGCTCATATCTACATGTATAAACACTGCCCAGGATTAGTACTTAAAATAAAGCTCACATTTTTCAACACTGTCCGGAATTAACCTTTAAACCTACCATAATAATTTATGGAGGAAGGAGCGGAGGAGACATTTAAAGTAAAATTTTAAAGTGCATCTTTTATACCTTGCCATGAACATGAAACTGGCCAGACTACACTGTAATACCAAACCATGCAACCTTACTGTTGATAACTGGAAACAGTGCATGCAATAAAGATAATACAGGGTGAGTACTTACAGCTGGTGTTCACAACAAAATCAGGAAAAAAAGAATGCTGAAATGGGAAATTTCTAATTAAGTGCTACACTAGAAAGAGGGTCAGTGTAGGCAGATGGTAACAAAGAAAGTTAACTTGGAAAAGTATGCAGTCATGTTACCTACCTGTACATTGTGCAGTGTAGACCTCTGGCCTTCTACAACCCAGGCTCTTGTGTAATTCACCTCTCCCCCCCCCCTGCACACCAGAACCCAAACTTTCATGCATATGTCCCAGATCTCTTACACACCACAGCCTCTGGATATCACAATCAAGGCTCTAACTACATAACTGCATGTTACTGTTCTCCTCTTATTTTTTTACTCTACTAGCAGAAAACTACCTCCATGACATTATAAGGTTATTTCTTGATAATTGTGTTCAATAGGCATACAGGCAAATGGTTTGAAGAAAAACATATTTGGCAAGCCTAGTCCTTATGTAAAGCTATCAATCATGCCCTCACGACGGCATCTGAGGTCATGGAAACAGCACCACGGGCAGATTGCCAAAACATCTTCACAAACCAATACCATCAATCCAAAATGGTCTAGTGAGGTAAGCTCGGTCATGTACAGCTCTCATGCTGTTGGTGGGAAGTGTGTTATCCTACCTTAAATATAGTCGGTAGTTCTTTGTCATACATGTACGTTTATCAGATGTGTATCTATGATAAAGAGCACAAAAGGTGCAAACTTCCAGAGGAGTTCGGGGCCATGCTTCCCAAGAAATGTTTTGGATTTCACCCCCTGTAAGTCCCCTTTCCTGGGTTTCTGGGTCATTCTAAAAAATCTGGTCCACCTCTGTGTATCTGTAGTATCTCGTACTAGTAATTGTCACCTCCCCCAAGAGAGTAATTAACTATGTTCCCAGCTATCCCTGAAAAATCTTTATTTGACTGTGTAACTTTCTTAAATGCTTTATGAACATTACCTTTGTAGGAGTTTGTGTTTCTGGGTGGTGCAGATGACATGTTGGAAGTTGAAGTGCGGAATAAGTTTTCTGGTACACGCCCAGCCTTTAGCCGTTTTTTGGGGAAACTTACTGTTCCTCTTGTGGATATCTTTGAATGCCAGAGAAACAGGTTTGTTTCTTGATGTAGTTACCATGTGGAAATAGAAATGTCTCTCTGTCTGTCTGTCTGTCTGTCTGTTACCACAGGTACATTGTACTATTACTTAAGTTGTGGCCAGTGTTTGGCATAGGAGAGAAATGAAAATAAGTTGTAACTACATGAAGCAGGGTGCAAAGAAAACCAAAGTCCACTTTCAAGTGGCAGTCAGAAATTTCTTTCTTTGCACACTGAGTAGCCGAGTGTGAATGAATTGCATCTGCCGTTGTTATAGTCCTTTGTTTAAGAAACAATGAATTGCCTTTAGTTAGATTTGTCAAAAATAGCAACTTACACAGTAAATGTAAACGTGTGAAAATTTTATGTCAAGTGTGTATGTTGTAGGTCAAAATGAAATTCAGGTTTTAATGATATTCCGTTGTCTTCTAACGCTAATTATTCATGGTCGTGTTAGAAAACAAAGGAAATTGAGAATCAAATTAAGTTGAAATAATTTTAACCTGAATTTCATTTTGACCTACAACATATACATGTATGTACCTGCTGTTTCACCTGCCATATCCATGTTGTTTGGCACATAACAGGCCGGAAGAGTTCACTAAAACACTTGGTAGAAGGACCCCCGCTGACAGAGTGCAGGGCACAATAACACTGACCATCACTATTATTGAACCATCCACAAGTCCAGGTGAGTTGAAATAATGAGCTACATTAGGGGAAAAACAGAAGGTCAAATTGTTTCTTCTGACTGAGTCACTGTAGAAAATATTCGCACAGAACAGAGTTAAAATGCTAGGACAGGTTTTATGTAGGGAACATTAATGGTGCAGTGTCATCGGTCTGTTTAACACCACTCATTGGATAAATAACTATACAGTGGATACACCTGCAAATCATTTGAGTCACTTGGCCCAGATACACACTTCCACAACGTACATGTGTACTCTTTAAACATTGTTATAGATGACGGAATTAAGATGTTGTTTTTGCCTTCTTTCCTCAGCTGCTGCTTCCGCTGAGCAGGAAAATGTTCCACCCGCTTCACCCTCAGGAGAGACATCTACTGGAAGCCCTCTGCAAAATAACCCAAGGTGTACCTTATCAAACTCATCCCTTATGTCATCAGCACCTAATATTTTACAACCTCTTACCTTGAACTCCAGCAATGGTCTGCTTGAAACCATTTTCCCTGTGGACACTCCTTCTCCTTTGTCCCCGCATGGGACAAGTGAACAGGGAACGTTTGGTGACGCAGCAAATTGCAGAAGGAGATTGCCTGTACAATCTAGACCATTCTCCGAGCTGTACTCAGAGGAGTTTGTCCCCTTAGATGATGTTGATATAACCAACCCAGAGCTTTCACAAACCTCTCAAGCAGCAAGCGATGAGAATACTCTCAGTGGAAATGAAAGCACAGAGGGGGGTATTTCAGGCGAGAGCAGGACTTCTAGTAGTTTAGCAAATTCATTAGAAGTCGAATCTCCTGATGGCACAGTTATTGATCAACGGCAGGACTCACAAAATGCACTCGATAATGCAGATGGGATTCCTTGCCATGAAGGCAGTGAAACCTCCACACCAACTCAAGGACCTGGAGATAACAACCCAGACTCGGACAACCAACCAATGGAAATCCCCGAAGAAATTAATGGTGTCAACAGTTCTGAAGCAGAAATGAGTTCAACAGACGTAGGGCAAAGGAATAGTACTGGAAGCATTGAGCTGACAGAGGACTCACCGCTAAGAATTTTAGAGGAGTGCGAGAGGGTGCGTGAGGAGACGATTGCCCTGTCAAGGGAAAACCTTCTTCAAGGTCCCACTGCCGAATCAGATGATGAACTTGAACAGATGGATATCACTGACGAGACTATTACTACAGAACGTGATAGTTCACATAATTCAGACTATTCCATGGACGATGCGTTGACTAGTGAAAACCTCACGCAGTCAACTTTGAATGGAAGCAGTTCTACAGAAACCCAGCCAATGGCTGAGCAAGAAACCGATTTGCTAGAAGCTGCAAGTAGTGGCCTCCTTGATGAGGAGGTCAATGATGCGATTTTGTCGTCTCTTGAAGAACATGAGGGGTCCAGAACTTCACCTGCTGCGGTAGAGTGCGTGCCAGGACCTTCAGTTGCCACGGCATTGATAGAACCAGAGACGGGAGAAATGGCGGCTGAAGGGAACCTTCAGCAACCAGCGGAAAATACCGAGCACAATCCTGCAGAGCAGCAGGAGATCGGTGTTAGGGAGGAACCAGTGTCACTTCTTGAGTATGTAGATCAAATAATGGATGATGAGCCCGAAGAGCAGAGTGGGGACAATGCAATGATTATCGAGTCTGTTGGAGACAATACTCAAGAAAGTACATCATCGCCTGGTTCTAATTTGGGAACCTCTGAACCTTCTGGTGTGGATTCACCTAGTGTAGCAGTATCTTCTGTAACTCTTCCAATGGAGGCATCAGAACCTGTGTGCTTAGGTGCCACGTCAGTGCAGTCAACTTCAACTTCAGAAATGATAGTTGACACCCCACTGACAGTGCACAGTGGAGTGGGCGATGATGACAGGGCGATCCCACAGAGGCCCCCTCGAGGTAAACGTCTTTCTCGATCCACTAGTGATCCAAGAAGTGCCCACTCAAGGAGACTTGCTGAGAGAACAAGAAATGCGTCGCGAGGCTCTAACCAAGGAGAGAACTCCCCAAGGCTTACTCGTCCACCATTAATTCGACGAGTGACCGAACCCACCACCATGCCAACCAATGCTGTGGATCCCACAATTGTGCCTGTTAACACGGGTGTATCGTCACAAGCATCTAATACCACGGCTGTTGTTACTCCAGTAACTGAACCTGTGGCAGAAGCGGTAGTGTTGTCTCCGACAGAATCAGTTGTAATGGCAGTGCCGCTGTCTCCACCGCAACAGCGCAGCTCTTTATCGAGTGCACGTTCACCTGTTGTTGTAGCAGATGTTGTGGCTGAAGCTCCGGCATTAGTTACGCCATTACCATCACCTGATCTGGTTTCGGAGAGGACTAACTCCACATTTGATGAACTAACTGCCGTTGCTGCAGTTAGTCTGGAAGCGAGTGGAAGTGCTGCAGGTGAAGCTTCAACATCAAGAGATTCACCAGATGATTATGTGTTAATTGTGCCATCTGATGGTAGACAACCCTCGTCTGCTCCATCGACGTTAAGGAGAAAGGAAGCTGCTTCAGCTGTTGATTCACTGTTAACAAACGGAACACGAGCTTCCCACAGAAGAAACTCATCACAAGATAATTCTTCTGTTCTTTACGCTACGCCGCTATCAGGACTAGGCAGAGAGTTACCTGACCAGCAAAGTGCAAGCTTTCCTAGGCCAAGCAGCTCAGCAAGGGTCACTGCACTCTCAGGCGGCCGACGGCGCAGTAGTAGCAGTAGTAACAGTGGTTATACAGTTAGCAGGGCTGTGCCTGATGAATCTCAGTCTTTACCTCGGAGTTATGGACAAACTGCCTCTGCATCAAGTTCTCCTGCTGCTGCTACAAGTGCCACAGTAAACCCCGAACAAGTCAGGCATAATGCTCCTGAGAGAGTTAACAACACTTCCCCCGGTGCCGCCTCTCTGCCGGGACCTAGTAGCCAGTCTGGTAGTGATCTAAGTCAGTCACGCGAAGCAATACAAACCATGCTTAGGTCCTACTACATTAAGTCAACACAGGTGCCAGGCGGACAACCACCTGTAATACAGCTGCCAAGAGCATCCACCTCCTCGGCGCAGGAACCTGAGGCAGCTAGAAGACCATCTCAGCCAAATAATCGCAATGGGAATCGGAGAAGCTCTGGTCGGAGACAGCAAGGCAATCCAGTTCATGTGTCCATTCAGGACCAGCAGCAGAGCAGAGAGCAGCGGGCTCGGCCAGAACAGCAAGCCACGGAGGAAGAACCTCTACCACCTAGTAAGCAATTTGGAGGCTGTTTTAGAATCGCGTGAAGACTGCGTCGTAGTCTTTTGCCAAACATTAGTGTCTTAAGTTTCATATTGAGAAAAATGCCTAAAATCATTTTGCAAAAAGAAAAAGACTTTCAGAACAAGGCGGTTCGTTGAACGTGCTCGGTTCTAATTGCCCCGCTCCCTAGTACACTGTAGTCTGCATGCAAAAGTACTTTAAGTAGGCAATTTCCGAGTTACATTGTGCCTCTGTTTCAAAACGAGTCCCGATGAAAAACTTTTCATATGAAAATGAGTTTGATTTGCATGAAAATGAACCTGCAGGCGGAATTCATTTTCATATGAATGGTTTCGCACGGAGACTCGTTTTGACACAGAGGCAAAAGGCAACTCGGGAATAGGCCCTTTGCAGGATCCGGTCACATGGTACTGAATTAACTACGCTGGGACGCAAGTTACACAGTGGGACTTCCAAAACAAAGGAACTCGTACCAGTCCAGCCCGACTTTCCTTTGTTTTGGAAGTCCCACTGTGTAACTTGCGTCCCAGCCTAATTAATTCCGTACCATGTGACCGGATCCTGCAAAGGGCCTGTTAGCACCTACGGTTCGTTTACCAGATGAAATCTGAAGGTTGTCTTAACGGGGTGTATACAGAGTAAGTTAACAAATGAATCATGCTTTAGCGTGCATCTTCGAGTTACGATGCACGCGGGAAGTTTGGAAGGCATGAAAGAAGCGTAAGAGGTGCTCGATGCGCAATGGAAAATCGAATAGATATACGAAGACTACCACTCGCGCGAGAAAAAAAATTCTCTGGCGAAGCGAAGTTAACGTTGCTAATAGCGCCAACGTGTATTATTAGTAGCGCGAATGTATATTCTTGCATATCGGTCACGCTTATGAACAAACAAAGCGATACATACTCGCGTGGTTCGTCACTTCATTAAGCTTTTGTTGTAGCCTGTATCTTGTTTGGCGAGCACTGATAGAGTTTTATTTCTTTAGATTGGGAGCGGGGCGTGGATTCTCATGGAAGAGTTTACTACATTGATCATGTCAATAGGACGACTACTTGGAACAGACCTCGGACAAGTAAGACTTTCTTTTACCGCTGTGTTCTCACTGTTGGTTTGGCACTCTTTGTGTCAATGGTCAAGCCACGAAAGTTGGTAGCAAAATGTACCAAAGCCGGCAATAATGCCTTGATTTTGTAAAATAGTATTTCACAAATAGCTGGAAGACATTAGAAGGTGAAGACGATTAACTATGTTGAAAGCGAATCTGGAAGATTGACTTTACCTTCGACTTGCTTTGAAATGTAGTAAAATTAAGATTTTTCTCAATTTTGAGTAATTGTTTTTCGGCCGTGATTTTGTTATGAACAACACAACTTGCATTGCACGACCAGAGTTAATATATGCCATCAGACAATTGTGACCCTTCCGTTGAGTGAGAATGCTAATGATACGAAATTTTCTTACCTAAAATGTTTGTTGAATAATAGTGTTTGAACCTTGCGTATAAGTATTGTCAAGTTTACTTTGGCGAACGGTTCGCGAAAAGTGCTATTTAGCCGTTCGATGTCGGCTGGCCGTGAGCAAAATTGGCCGCTATTTCAGAGCGGCCAAATAACTTTATGACGTCACTGGTTGAATTACATGTCTCGCTGAGAATGATTGAACATGGGACAAGAGACTAGTGGGAGTCTCATCTTAGGCACACTTCAGAGCTGTAGGTAGTCAATAACAGGTAGTCTCACTTATGATTTACGGGAAGAATTGATGCTTTAGCCTTTATCTAAGTTGGATTTTTCCAGTATATTTTACGCAAGCGATCGAGTGTGGTGTACAATGTACATAGTTCTTTATCTCATCCAGACATGTTATGACCTGCTAGTGAATGTGGTTAAGTAGACATAAATCCTCGGTGAACCGGCTTTGAAAATATTTATCCCGGGATTTGCTGCTCGAATTAAGGACACTGTTAACTCGCTTTGATCTGTAGACTTCAACAGGGAAGGTTTTAACTTTTGGTTTTTGTACGTTTTCATGGGTGAGTCCCCGATAGCTTCACTCAAAAATTTCGATTAAACATTGAAGGAAACTGTTTAGTGATTCAGAGGTTTTAGTTTAAGATATTTTTTTTCAAATTCACGCGCAACCAGATGCTACTTGCATTTGTTGTTTTATTATTTCATCTCCTCGGGCGTTTCTCCGGCAAGATTGCGTAACAAGTGTCACTCTTGTTTTTTGGTCAGGTGATATCAGCTAGACACTGTTACTCGCCCCTGCAGTAACAATTAATCAGAAACATTCTATTCTCTGAAAGGGATTTTCTAACTCAGCTCCTCAGCCATTTTCCTTTTTCAGACCACGAGTGAAAGTGTGACAGCGTTTGGGGTGAGAGGTCACATACGTGAAATAAAACCCTTGTATTTACCCCAAAGTAAGCTACTACGGTATCGAATCTCGTGATGTTCTTGTGAATTGCCGACTTTGATACTTATAAATACAGATTGCAGGTCGAAGTGTTAATGATTGTTAAAAGAATCTGAAGCAGCCATCCGTCAATTATTCACAGCCGATGGCATCGGCTTTGGATAATTGACGGATAAAAGTGTGAAAGTAAAAAGTGGAAATTCCTGTTGTTACGTTCACATGTGAATTAAAAGACCAAAAAACAAACCCGCAAATACTTCGTCTGCTGACCCTCAAGCAGAGCACAATTTTTGAAAGATTCTCTTGGTCTATTACAACAACTTCCACTTATTAAATCGTACTTCCTGCATGCGGTATGACGTCTGATTCCCTTTACCTCCTGAAAAGTTTAGCCTAAATTTTTCAAATTTGTGGTTTGTAATCTGTGTTAATTTTCTCCATCGTTAACTATATTTGTTCCTTAAGGCGTTGTTACTATTTCTTTAGTGTTTTTCCAGGTAAACCACTGTTTTCAGGTTTTCTTCAATTTAAAGGTTATTTTATACATGACCAAACTACCGTGACAAGGCTCTTGTAAGTTCCTTCAGTTATAATCATGCATAACGTGAGAATCCAAGCTTAAGGTTCACTAAATCGATTGATGAATAAAACAATGATTTCAAAACATGTCCATCAAAAATAAGTCACTTGAAATTGTACTAATAAGGACTTTACAGTGCTCGAACAATGTTTTACTCCAGAAGGTCAACAAAACACTTTTCAAAAGCATTTTAAAAACAAAATTCGCCATAAGTGTATTGGGCGAATAAAAAAACACGGACATATCATTTCAGGAGCAGTTTAAAGGGTGTGATGAAAAGTAGCTGAATTCAAGAGTTAAATTATTTAAATACACGATTTTTTCTTTCTTCAGATGCCCCTGAAAGTGAATCAAACATGAATGAGATTAACACCCATTGGCAAAGCCTTGATAGAAGGTAAGTTTCACGTGAAAATCCCTGATTTTCCTCAGCTGCGGTTATTCTCGAAAGATAAATTAAAGCTACCACTCCGGATGACAAAACGCTCCGTTTCATTTTTTCTCGCGTGTTTTTATTTCAAGATATCAAAGCTTCCGCCGGACGCTCCGTGGTCGAAGCAGCCGCCATTCACGCGTACCTCTACCCATGGTCGACAACCGGGAGAATCAGACAGCTGGCGAATCAAGTGCCAGTGGCAGCGCAGAAACTGGGGCTGCTTCGCTGAGACCTTCTCATCCACCAGGAGCGTCAGCTTCCTCCTCGCCAGTGGCTTCTACCCCCTCGACACCGTCTGCGTCCTCCTCACCATCTACCTCTAATGAACCGTCTAGTTCGTCCACACTGTCTACTTTTCACCCACCGCCTCCTCCCTCCACACCGTCCATCTCATCCGAACCCTCCTCGTCCTCTGCCCCGTCCACTTCTTCAGCATCTTCGTCAAGGAATGCCAATTATTTGCAGTCTCCTGCGGTGAAATTTCTCACCAGACATGACTTAATAGACTTTCTCAAGAGTAAAGGGGTATGAATTTGTTTTATTTTGAGTAAACGCTCCTTGTGAGTTTATATGCATGTGTTTTTATGTCAGAGAACAACCCGGAAACATAACTGAAAATGTGTTTCTGTGACTCCTTAAAAACAGTTGTGTGGGGTTCATAAAGACGAAGACTCCAATGAAGTTACGTCTCGGTTTTGCATCTTAAAAAGTTTAGCCTAAATTTTTCAAGTTCGTCGTTTGTAATCCGTGTTAATCTTCTCCATCTCTAACCATCCTTGTTCCTTTATGGTTTATTGTTATCTCTTTGTTGTTTTTCCATTTGGTAAGTCACTATTTTCAGGTTTCTTTCAGTTTAAATGTAATTTTGTACGTGGCCAATACAACTCAAAATACCACGGTGACTGAGTTCCTTTAAGCAAGTGGTACTACCGTCTATAACACTGGTCTAATCTTCATTCCTGTTCACTAGGTGGCTGGTCATTACTATTTCCAAAGCCAGATGTTAAAACTCATAGTTTCTAAGATCAGAAGCGAACCCAATCAGTTTGAGAGGTAAACGGGCTTCTTTTGATTTCCTATTCACTTCCTCTGTGTAACACGGCAATAAGAAGCGCACAACCTCAAGCTCAAAAACATTACCAGATCATACGAAACACAAAAATAAAGCTATGATTTTGTAGAACAGTATTTGACAAACAGCAGGAACCCTATAAGAAGCGAGAATGACAATCAATGGCAAGGATTGAAATGGATTGCAATAGGAACAAACTTGAAAACAGAGACAGAAATCATAGGTGGATAGCAGGAAACCCAACAAAATGATATGATTTTCTAGAGCAATATTCGACAAAATAAGAAGACCCATTAAGGGTGTGAGGATGATTGACGATGGCAAAATGCACTAACTTGACGCGAGGCTTTTCGAGTTATTTCAAGTTCCAGGTACTTCGATTGTAAGCACGCATGCCGTTACCAGTGGATAACAACTGCCTTTTCTCCAAGGTATCGCCATCAAGTAGAGCTTGTTAGGTTTCTAAATCAGTTCGCCGATCCTCAGATGGACATGCCGGCTGGCTGGGATAAGAAAGTTGATCAATCCGGACGGGTAAGTCTCTGATCTGGTCTGATCTGATCTGATCTCTCTGTCGGTGATTAGAACGGTTTTGCTATGAATACAGACAGAGAAAAGGTATGTCCAGACCTGCAGAGTGTCCACTACGCAAAAACCCAAAAGGCCAAAACATACATGTAATTAGAAGGCTCGCCCAAAAACTGATCAGTTTGTCAACATTTCCAACTAGAAACTCAGCGCCACTTGGACTACAGTTCAACCCCTATTAAACGGCCACCCTCGGGGAAATGGATAGTGGCCGATTAAAGGGAGCTGGCCGCTTAATAGAGGTAGAAACAATAGATGAACCCTCATCGGGACTTTGATTACCGGCCGCGTAATAGGAGTGGCCGTTTAATTGGGGTTTAGTACAAAAAAAGCATCCTACACTCTGTTGCAAATCCGAGAACTCCTTTCTAGAACCCTTTAGGTTTGGTGGTTTTGTTCGTCCATTAAAATAATGGTTTATGTTTTTGATGTTTTCTTCTTTGTTGTAGCTGTACTTCATTGATCACAATTCGCGAACAACGACCTTCATTGATCCACGCCTTCCCGTGGAGGAGACTCTTCCAAGACGAAACCGCTCGCAAACGGAGGTACATTTCTTTAATCGATTTGTGTGTCCTGTCGCGTTACGTGACTTGAATGCACGCAACACGACAGGTATATAAACAGTTCCATTATAGCCTCGCTCTTGGATAACTGTTAGCTTCGAGGAAAAGATATTGTCCTGGGACAAAATCTGAGCGTATTTGTTTAGTCAAATGGGGGCTGTTGTGTTTATTATCCTTCAAATATTTTTCACCACGCGCGGGATCCTCCAAAATTAGGGAATATCATTCGGCCAGCCAGTTTTGGCTAGGGCATATTCAGTCATGTGACCTATTTAGACTAATCGCGTGCGAGCGAAAATATTTGATGGACTATAAGTAATACTATAGCACAGTGTCGTTGAAAAGTTGTCTGTCATCTGGTTACAGCCTCGAGGCGGACGTGTTCCTCCGCCTAGGCCTCCACCACCAAGGACGCCGTCTCGGTCAAACAGTTTGAACAATTCCACGCCAATGAGTAAGTAAATGCTTTGCCGAGTGACACTTAAAATGATCACAGGTACTTGGTCACCTACTAAAGTATAAATATGTGAGCAAATGAACTGCCTACATGCACACATTCATTGCAACTTGAAAGTGTAATTCATTCTTTCCCAAAGGACCTAACCCCCACCCCCCCTTCCCCTCCCCTCCACCTCCCTGCACGTCTAGGTTGTACTTTCTGTTCTTTCCTCGCTTACAACCGTCACCATACCGAAATAACTCCCTGATAACCGTTCTTCCGACCCCTTTCGGCATAAAAAGAGTATCAAATGTGTTCAGAATAGGGAAAAAAACAACTTACGTTGTACGTGGAAAAAGGTCAACATTTTCAAAATGTTAACCTTCGTATTCACAAAATTAACTTTGCATTTTGGCTTAAAGTGTGAGGATATTACGATGGTTAGCGATACATAAATATGTTTCGTTTCTGCCAAGGGACTCATCAGAGACCTTTCAGCTAACTCGTCAAACATCACGTTTGAAGTCCCGCTAGCATCAAAATGATGGTGGCAATCTGGCCTTATATCACATAAGGATTCCCAATTGCGTAATATGCCATTCAACTTGAAACAAGTGTGACATTCATATGCGGTTGATCATTCATTTTATTTCAGTCTTGCAATGTTGTATTTCTAGTCTTTTTATTTATCTGACAATTTGGTCTTCTCTCTCTTCGCAGCTTACAACCAGCAAGTCGTGGCGTTTTTGTCTCAACCGGGCATTGACGATATTCTTAAAGATAAATACCAAGGATACGCTCGAAGCCCCACTCTGAAGTGAGTAGCTAATTTGCCGCAATTACTCGTGTCTTCTCCTCAGCTGTAGTTCTGTAAGTAACTTATTTTAATGTCTCTTCGCTTCCAGAGCCAACGTGAGAAGAGTGCAGACAGAGGGCGAGAGGGCCCTGGCGCGAATGTCTAGTAATCTCGACTTCATTATGTTACTGAGGTAATATGTAGTGTTGTCTCTTCCATGACACCATGTAAGACTGTCAAGTGATTTCTTTGGTATTGATTTGTATTTTTTATGATCTAGTGTTATGGAGGAGAGCATTGTCAGCCATGTCCCAGCAGACGTAGCGCAAACAATTGAACCTACATCCCAACCGTCGTCACCCACGCGTCACTCGCCTAACCCCCAGGCCACTCCTGGAACCCGGTCAAGATCAAGCTCCACCGAGGTTTCGCTGAAAGGTGCAATGGGTGATTCTACTGCTAGTTCCAGTCCTGCTCCTTATAAACGCGATTTCGAGGCTAAAGTTCGCTCGTTCCATCGTCAGCTCTACCACAAGGGTTACGGTCAGGGACCTAATAAAATCAAGTAAGTGCTGTAACTGATTTCGTGACAAGCCAAAGAACGTCGACATTGGAGGCCCTTACCTATATGTAGTGGTTTTGCCTCTCAGAGAGAAACAGAGTATCATTAAGGCCCCGTCCACACTTGAATACGGAGGCTTCACTCTGAAAACGCATCAAATGTTTTCCGTCCGCACTACGCCAGAGAAATTTAAAAACGCAACAATCACCGGTCATTTTGGATTTGTGTTTGAGGAAAACTCGGGCAGGCAAATCATATGATTATGGTGAGGCCAGCGTTTTCGAAAAGCTTCGTTTTCAAAATGTTTTCCGACCACACGAAAACGCAAAGCCGGCGTTTTCAAATTTCTCCGGTTTGAAGAGTGTTTTCGAAAAGCTCCGTTTTCGTGACGGATTAGTGTGGACGGTAGGCCTAACGGTAGAAATAAAGCTGCGTTTTGAAAATTCTCTTGGGTAGTGTGGGCGCTGCATAAGTAAGATCGATACGTGCGATTCATACGAATCTTTCAAAATTTGCTTTTAGCTTTAATAGGTTTACCTAGTTGAGAAATGTATCTTGCCAGCTTGGTTATGAACTTGATTGGAACATCAAAGCAAAACATACATTATGTAACAAAGAAATCCGATTTATGTGCATCAAAACTGAAATGTTATTGTGGCTTCTCTCGGCAGGTTGAGTTTACGACGGGACCATATTTTAGAAGACGCTTATGATCAAATCATGAAGGAGCCTGCCAGAGCGATTCAAAGAAACCGCTTAGAAATTCAGTTCGCTGGCGAGGAAGGGTAAGATATCATCGCGGAATTAAGCCTTACACTTGAACAGCAGCAATGATCCAAATCGAAAAACATTAACCAAAACTTATTTTGCAAACTGACTTTATTTGCATTTCATCAGAAGCTTTCCACTGAATGGTCATTCATTAGGTATTTATCCCCAGACTTAAAAGTTAGAGCCATCTAACACAGCACAGAAAAAACACTTATTTTTTCACGAAGAACTGTTCCGTACCTTCCACAAGGATTTCATCTAGAAACGATAAAATTAGAACCACTTGGTACAGCATCATAAAAAGTACTACATGAAAGAACTGCCCAGTAGCTTTCATTTCAATGGTCACACACTAGGGTCCTCATCCACAGACCTTAAAGTAAGGCCTCATTTGTTGACACAACGTAAAGCTTTATTTCTGCAGTCCTGTAAATTCTCTAGTTTCAGTTTTTCCACGGTCGTTATTAGAAAACCACTGACAAAAAAATAACGTTTCGTAACAGAGGGTTTTTTTTTTACTGTTTCAGTTTGGATTATGGCGGACCAGCGAGGGAGTTCTTTTTCCTTTTGTCTCGTCAAGTGTTCAATCCATATTACGGTCTGTTTGAGTATTCTGCAAATGATACTTACACTGTGCAAGTGAGCCCGGTATCGCTGTATGTGGACAACTCTCACGAGTGGTGGGTGTTGTGCATTTGTGTTTATACAATATTTAAGATAGTACGCGCGCTCTCATTGGCCGATAGATGTGTTTAGACGTGAGTATGTAAACACGGTTGTTACGTTTTAGATTCGCGCGTTTTCTTGAGAAATATTTTGTAAGAGTAACAGGTTTACATAGCCTCATCTAAACACTCGGAGGGTTAAAAGAATCAGTTTTCAAAAGTTATGTAGTCCCTTGACTGCGTCTCGGGTTTGGATAACTGTCTCGAATCCTCCAAACCCCTCATGTTTAGATGACGCTATGTAAACACGGAAAAAGTGCTTTACTGCTTAAATATACCCACCTTGTCTTAACACGCATTTATTGTGCTGATAATTTTTCCCTCTGTTACTGTACCAATAAATGTCTTTGTGCTTTCACTGGCTTAAGCAGCGTCTGTAGCGACAACACAACTGAAATCGATTTTCTTTTTAATTTTGCATTAGTCTGTTTTTAATTGTTTACACTTTTCTCTGTCAGTTGTTTTTAAACTGAACAACGGTATTAGTTTCTTAAGCAACTGTCAGGCTGCGTTTGCGGGCTAGTGGTAGTTAATTGGCCTGACGCTCGAAAACCTGAGCATCACAAGCTGTTTAATTTTTTCCCTGTTAAAGCAGCCCTGTTTCTTCCCGACATCGCAGTTACCACTTTGTTTCCCGCCGAAAACTCGGCGTTCGGTGCGCGCTCGTTGCGCTACCCGTTTCCCTGAGCATCACAAGCTCGCTTAGGCGGTGGACTTACCTTTCTCTTTTTCAAGATGATAAACAGCCTTAAACAGGCCTACTATGCTACTTTGGTTAAAATTCCTACACGTGGTCTTGGATGTTCCCTTTAGAGTAAAAGATGAATGAGGGCCCAACATAGGAGGCGGGATACGGGATGACATGACGTTTAATGGCGGGATGCGGGATAAAAATGTTTCAGTGGGAGCGGGATTTTCTCATTTTGACAGACGTGGTTCAGGATAGCTTTAAAATTGACGGCAGGATGTGGGATGAAAGACGGAAAATCACAGGTCGTAGACGTTACGTGGAGAACTGCGACTCTAACCAGGCTGGATCAGGATAAACATTCGGGATGGCGGGATTGAGCCTAAAAGCGGGATGCGGGATTGAAAGAAACCTATGTTGGACCCTATGAATTCAGTGTCCGCAGTGCAAATATGCCCCAGGTGGCCTACACGACGGAAGCTGTTTTTAAGGTTGTAGAATTTACAGAAAAAAAATGTTATTTTTCAGGTTCCGTTTCTGCGGGCGAATCGTTGGTCTTGTGATCATACATCAGCACCTGTTAGATGCTTTTTTCACTCGTCCCTTCTACAAGGCTTTGCTCAGAAGGTACAGTTACTTACTGCCTTGTTGATACATCCACACCGCTTTATTTTGGGTCAGGTAACAGCTCTCGTAAGGCCTCAATACCCTTTGAGAGGACAATAGAACAAACAACAGAAACAATGTCCCTAGCCCCAAAACAACAACAGCTGCTAACAAGCAAACGAATTACAAGCCTACGAGAGCTGCTACACTTTTGCGGTTTTTTCTTTGCTCTTAAAAGTTCGTAAGCATTAATTTTACAGATTGAGGAATATTTCCTTCATTTACTTCAATGTTGATGGACTATCTGTCGTCCTTCGACCTTGCTTTTGTTTTGTTTTGAATTTTTTTGTTCCTACTCACTGTGTCTTTGGCTACGTTTTTTCAGTCCGTGTGATCTCAGTGACGTCGAGGCAATGGACTCTCTGTTTCACCAGAGCATGACGTGGCTGACGGAAAATGACATCACAGGAGCGCTTGATTTGTCTTTTACTGTCAGTGAAGAGATTTTTGGACAGGTAAGAGCTACATGTAGTCACAGGCGAACTGAGGCACTTGGTTCAGTCAGTTTTTTGCGTGATCTCAGTGTTATGTTTAAATGAAGTCATCATAAACACTTTAAATATCTAGGAAGAGCATTCAACCATGGACATTGCCTCAGTCACAATTGCTTCTGGCTACGGCCCTGGAGTGTTCTAAAGCTCGCTTGATAGATCAATTGGTAGAGCATTGCAATGGTATCGCAGAGGTCATGGGTTAGAATCCCGCCCAAGCCAAACATTTTTTTCAGGCGTTATTTTCACAACTGCTTTTGCACAACTTAAAAGTTGTGTACATAACTGTGGCGATCATTTATGCCTTTACATCTTTCTCCTCTCTTCAAATTTAATGCATTAAATATATTCACTTTTAAGAGTTTTCTACCAACCAAAGAAAGAAATGGTTTATTTTCCAAATCCTTTGCAATCCCGACCAAAACGAGAAGAGATACTGCGCCCTGACCATTTGTATCTTACGGTTTCTTTAGTCACAAAACTTTGGCCAAACATTTATCGCCCAAAATTCCACGCAAATGACGATTGTAAGCTTATCCTACCACACCCATCTATTGACTAATCCTCCATTTCAATTCCATACCTTGTAGGAAATTTCCTTTGCACAAGCGAATGCTGAAAAGCTGTTTAATTTTTTCCCTGTTAAAGCAGCCCTGTTTCTTCCCGACATCGCAGTTACCACTTTGTTTCCCGCCGAAAACTCGGCGTTCGGTGCGCGCTCGTTGCGCTACCCGTTTCCCGCCAAAATCTGCAGTTACCCGCTTTGTGATAAGTTTACGGGTGATAAAGACGTGGCTACAGTTAATGTATATAGGGGATATTACACGGCGGCGCGAAGAACTAAGCTTAAGTAAGCACTTTACACATCTACCTACTTCTAATTAACTTAAAGGCTCGTACCCTTCACCTGATGATTGCAGAACATCGCGAAACTCTCCCATAAATCTTCGCTCATTCATCAATCCTTCGACTCTTTCAGGTGACAGAGCGCGAGCTCATTCCAGGCGGCAAAGAAATTGAAGTCACAGAAAGCAACAAGCACGAGTACGTGGAGCAGATGGTGAGATGGCGCGTCGAAAGAGGAGTCGCTGAACAGATGGAAAGCATTGTCAATGGATTCAATGAGGTACTTGAACGCCGCGAAATTTGAAATATTTCCAAGACGACAGATTATTAATCAACCGCGGTCGTACTATCTGGATCTAGATCAGTGATTTTTCCGTGTTCGTTCACTGTGGGCGTCTTATGACACACCCTTAATCCTTTTGTACGTCATTTGGCGTTAATAGTAATCCGTTTGCGATCATCTGAACCTTGTTAACTTCACTTGGAACGAAGTTTTATCCAAAATTTATCATGGGCTGGGAGTGGCTTCGATACGACCTCTCTGGCCCTAACATTTTTTTTATTTTAGTTATTTATTTTTTTGCAGCCTTTTCATGAAAAGAAGAAAACAGCATAAAAACAATTAACTTCATTAGGCAAAAAACTACTCAGAATAGTAGGAAAACTAAACAAGCTGAGTAGGTTGGAAAAAAATTATGCATCCTGAAAACTGTTCTTTTGGTGAATCAGGCCTGACAATGTTGAACGGTTATTTTTACGTCATAAAATGAATCGCTTTGATTTTGGAAGTTTTATTTTTCTTTTGGCGAGATAAACTAACATAGCAGTTAGGAACCAAGTTAGAAACCTAACTCGGTTTAAAGGATATTCTCAGTTTCTGACAGCGTTTTACAAATTTGACTCAAACTTATAAGATTTTAACGCTATTTTTCGGGCAAACGGTATCCTATTTATTTACCGTAACCATTTTTCTCTAGGTCCTAGATCCTAACTTGATCAATCTGTTTGATGCCCGCGAGCTGGAACTTGTGATCTCAGGCACGGCAGATATCGACATCGAAGACTGGAGAAAGAACACAGAATATCGCTCAGGTAAAGAGAGAAGTCGATTGAACGTAGTGCACGAGGAATTTTCACTTAGCAAGGTTTTATTCGACAAGTTGAAACCTGTGAACAGACTCCCTTGTGAGGTATAGGGCGGAAACAAGACATCGGAAAGTCGACAGGTTCGCTCACTTGGCTTTCCGAGTTCCGATTATATATCGCCATATACTCCACTAAAACAATTCCCCCTTTTATAAAAAGCTGACCTCGTTCGAAAAGTTGGATGCTGACATTTTGACAAGAGGACTTCTCTATGGAAAAAATATTTTGTCGTACGTACGAGCAAATAAATCTTGTCACTGCCTTGTTGGCACTCTTACTCACGAGATCATGAACCTGTGAAGAGAGCTTGAGAGAGAAACCTTGCTTGTGCTTTTGCTTTACACTTTTGTTACTATTTTAGTCGTACAGTCAAATAAAGAAGAACTTTCCTTTTTGATGTCTTAGATTGACCATTGCTAAACGTTTCGTGGTATAATTTCAGGTTACCATGGCAATCACAAAGTGATAAAGTGGTTCTGGAAGGTCGTGCGGTCTTTTGATAACGAGCAGAAGTTAAGACTCTTACAGGTAAGTGCGTGTTTAAACGTACCATCACATTTCTAGCAGCTTCTAGGTTTTGGTCCAGAAATTTTACAAATAGTTCGGTGTCGACCGGTCTGCAGTTCCAGCTGCAAAAATGAAGTTTCACAGTTAGTAATCTGGTTTTTGTTGATTTGGCAGTCCGTTTTGTCAAGATTCCAATGTGTTCTGGGCTTTACGGCATTTTCTACGCTACTGTTGATCTTTGTTAAAACTTTGATAAGATTTATTAGAGTTTCGCGTTGTATGGCAAAATTGTGATCTCTTGGGAAATCCGATTTGGCTTAGAGTTTGTGGTTATATTTGATCTTTTAATAGTATTAACTCTGTCTTTGCTTTTCTCAAGCAAGCGTATTAGTCATTTCGCATTTAATCAAAATTTGATCACTACAGTTCATCTCTGTTAATCTGCTTTGCGTCTCGGATAAGCTTTATGTGTAAATCTCTACTTAATACAAAGTGAATCATACCATGTGATTCTTACTCTGAGTGTCAGAGGCCTTACGCGCGCTTTTTTCCGCGGCCTTGTTCAGTCAATTGCATTGGATATTTGTGTTAAGTCAGCATAAGAGATCCAAAAGTGTCCTTACGTGCAAGAATGTAGATGGCTTACAATAGCTGTTACTATCAGTGGTTTGACGTACAAACGAGGCGAAATTGTCCATTCGGCTTAGTATTGACCCTTTGGCCTCGTTCGCATGTCTTTTTTAAACAGGAGTATTTGACCGCAGACTCCACTGTAATAACAGCTATACTGTCCTTCATTTTGTGAATCACTAGAGCACCAAAATTGTATTAACTCTTGAGGTTTTTGCAGCTGGTAGCGTGCACACCTTTTTTCAGAATTATTCGGTGGCGTACACTGGGATTCGTTTTGCCTAACCATTGGTTTTGTTGCTTTACAGTTCGTCACTGGGACCTCTAGCATACCTTACGAAGGTTTTGCTGCTCTACGCGGCAGTACAGGACCAAGAAAGTTTTGTATCGAGAGATGGGGAGACTACACTAAACTACCCAGGTGGGTTTTCAGCACTTTGGCGGTGGCCTGTTAATTACAAACTCACTATAGAACCCTTGACAAAAGAGGTGGGGAGGGTATCTATTGCTCGCCATCTCCATACTGGTGTTCATAACAAGGAAACGGTGGCCATGTTGGTGTCTAAGACCAATCCTCTGGGAATTGAACTCTTTCCTTATGTAAACACCTCGTTTTGTTCGATAAATTTGCATGGGTGCTGGTGCCTGGCCACTTGAGTGAAGAGAATGCTTTGTTGGATCAGCATGCCATAAATGATTATGACAAAATGTATGAGACGGTGATTATCGGCGAATAATCAACCCTGGAACAGCCCATCAAATGGGCTGGATCTCAATAGACCACTGCTAAACACTGGGTAAACTAACTGCTATATTGTTGTTACTGACAAAGTCTGCTTGTTTTTGTGTTTGCAACGCAGGGCTCATACCTGTTTTAACCGGTTGGACCTGCCTTTGTATCGCTCTTATGAAGAACTTCTGGAGAAGCTCACGTTTGCTGTGGAGGAGTCGGAAACCTTTGCAATGCAGTGATTTGTCAGTCAAACTGATCTACAAAGGATAGTGGAATTGAAGATACGTCAACTAATGCGAGTATTTGTCTGTTTCTACGGAAGGTGCTTTTCGTACACATATGAAATACACCGGCTGCTCTTTGGATTTGTAAGGATTGAAGCGATTCCCGCCTTGTGTGGCAGTTAAGCGGTGACTAAATTCCGCCCGGCTTGTCCTAAATGTAACATTAATCTACAAACGCTGGGAACGTTTAAATCACTATTTCAATTGAGAACTTTTAACTGATGCTTCAAAATAGTTCGGCGAGTCAAAAATAACACGAAAGTAGGTGGAGTGGTCTATTTGTCAGCTAAAGATATCACTGAATGTGATTGACATAAATATTTCTAAAAATTCTTTGTTAAGGTATTGTTGCAAAGGGAAGCTCTGTGAGTTTGAGTGAAAATTTTCACTCTCTTTGCTAGAAATCTTTTGGGCCATACTTACCGCTTCCTACTTAACCAAGTGGAGGTGCTATCTTAATAGAACAAAACGTCCTGCGTAAAAAAAAAAAAAGAAAGAAAAAAAAAACTGGCTAAAATCGAGAATTTTCATCTACTTTGTCCTAGAGATGGAGAGGGGTTGGGGGGGGGGGGAATTAATTGTACATATAAAGATAGGAATTATTATACTAAAATGTAGTAGAGAAAGAATAGTTTACATGATTTGCCATTGCAGACCTTTGAACGTCTTTAGGTGATTCTGCGATATCAAGTGATAGCTTCTAGAATGGTTTTTAAAGTAAGAAGAAATGCAAATGCATTAAGGCGTGGAGAGGGCCGTTGTAATTCCCAGAAGTTCGTCTTGTCGGTAAAGCAGCAAAGATTTATCAGTGAATGAAGATGTCATTGTTATTTTTGCGTGCACGGTTCCAATGGGCGATAAAAATATAAAGATTTCTCCATATTTTCGTCGAACTTCGTAGCCTCTGTCGGGCTCAGCTTATAAAGAGGCTGTTCCTTATTGATAGGATTATTTGTGATATGTATCGAGATGCCTTCATCGAGAGTAGTCGCTTTAGGTTTACCACTGGATTAAAAGTGATGCACAGATGGGAGGAAATTCCTTGAATAATTTCTAAATTTGTTATGAGTGAGAGCGTGGTTAAAATGTGTTTAAAAACTGATTCAGATCTGTGGTTATAGGTGTGACTGATTGACAGTTTTATTGGCCTGTTAAATGGCTTTAGGGGGTAGGAAACTGTGGACCGGAGGGTGTAGACCGGTGTGAAGTAGGGAGGGTAGTGTTGGTAGCAGGAAACTAAAGTTGTTTCTGTATACGCATATGGATGACAGACGAATTTTGAGTTATTTTGGCGCGCCCGCTCGCTAGCATACAGCTGTTTCGACAAAGGTCCTATAAGAGCATAATAGCGTGCGCGACAATGCCAATTATTGGTAATGTAGGTAGTGATGGTGTATCGTTGCTTGGTTGAAGTTCACACTGTTTCAGCAAGAATGAAGGGGAAGCATGAATACACGTGTTTGTGCTGCTTCCTTCTATCACACTGAAACACCTTGAGCTTCAATCAAGCAACAGGAAACCAACATCCACAATACCTTTCGACATTGTCACGCTCGCTTACACGCTTTTGTAGGGCAAACTTTCTTCAAACAGCTTTATGGAGGACAGACTAATTTTGGGTAATTCTGGTGCACCCGCTATCTAATATAGAATTGGATTTACTAAGTGTAAGTGTTGGACGCGAGGGCCCTAAATTTTTATCCGGCAAATTGTCTCCTCTTCAGGTTCAAGTGACAACTGATAAACGTCTAAAACGTGTACCGATAGGCCAAATTAGTGTTCCACGCCACCCATGTAGATCTAAAAATATGACAGGTAAAAATAACGGCAGATGTAAGAATAACTCGCTGGTACAGCTTTTTCATAGAAATTGTGTTAATTGTAGATATGTTGCGTTGCCTCGTGCCAATTTATTGACGCACAAGAGTGTCTCAGCGCCGCTAGGAACCGGAATAGGTTCACCAATTGTGCAAGTAATCTATTTTAACATAAGACTAAAACATTATAAAAAAAAATCCAAATTAACTGTAATGAAAAGATAAATTATCTAAAGCTGTGAAATTGTAATATTTCCTCATTATGAGGAGGAAAGCACCCTTACTTTGGTCGTCGCGCAACCGGAGAAGCATTGCGTGACAATCAAATTGCGTGACAATCGAGTTTGCGAGTCATAGGTCTTAAACCTAATAGGGTATTTATTAGAATTTTTAAATGTAAAGTTTCCGTTCTCTAAGTTGTTTTTCATTTGTATGAAGTAAATATAAATATGTATTAGGTTTTGTTTTCCTTAGTTTTGTACTTACAGTCAATATCTGCTGCGCTTTCGTAGTGATTTCTGTGAAATTTTTAACAAATAAAGAAAATTGAAAACAGGCATTTGACTTGAAAAATTAGTGTACTGTTGAGCGGAGGGGTGATGAAAATAAGTTTAAATTAATAAAGAACATTGTTTTTTTTGAGGGGGGGGGTGGTATTTTTTGACGTGCCAACAAAGTCTGAAAATGGACATTTTCCTGTGGTGGTCACGCAGCGAAGACTCAAATAGCTGCTTGCAAAGGTAGCAACAGTTAATCGACTCTGTGCGGAAATCTCGGATATTCTGTGTTTGTGTGATTCCAGCCACCAGATGCCCGGACTGCTTTGCGCGCAGGTAAATACCAGCGTGACTTAACAAGCTTTGAGAGTGAGAGACGGACGAATGCACGTGCGTTGTAAACTATGAAAAATTTTGTTATGTAAGTTTTGTTGTGTATGTTGTGTCACACGGCAAGGGTCGCAAAAGGTTACTTTATTACGGTTTCAGGAATCGGTGGTATGGTTTCGTCCCAGAGATTAGGACATTGTTTACATGTTTTTGTCATTGACACGCAATTAGGTTCATAAGCCGTCGATTGTTTGCGATAACCCTAAGTAAAATACCTTCAGATAAGATCGAATCGAAATGGAAAGCTGACGATGCCATCCGATTTTGGCAACAAAAATACGACAGAAACAACAGGATGTTGGATTGAAATGTCAAATATTTCCTCTGGAATACAATTTCGTCGATATTTCACATTCTCCGAACTAAAATAGCTCTTGAACGATTCTTTCTTGGTAGGTTTACAAACTGTAAACGTCTCCTTTTAAAGTACTTGAAAGTAAATTTGGCACGGGGTAACTTTTCCACAAGTGATGGTAATTTGAAGATGGACTATTGACCACTGTTCGCCCACTGGTAGCTAAAAATTATTGCTGTTGCATGAGCTATTTGTCCTAATGTTTTCGCATATACAAAAATAATAGTTTCTGCTTCGCCTGGAAGAGAACCAAAACAATCGAAGGTGGCGATAAACCGCACGTTGAAAAGAGTTGTTTATTTTTATTTTTAAGAATGTTCCTGTCATCGCCTTCTTGGCAGAAGGGCCGGAGCGACTTTATTTCTTCTGTTCATGCTTAGATTTCGAAGAAAGCCATAGTCAAAACATGCCTTGCTGGCCATTACACCTTCTACCTAACGTCCCTTTTTCTTATACAATCATTCCGATCTCCTGTGCACTTTAACTTGAGCGCGAAATGTTTGGCGGTTTTACCTTCAATTGTTGTCAGCTAGTCGGAGGCTGAAAAACAGATGCGTTTTCTCCTCAAATCATTTTGGGAGATCAATCCGCTGAGGAACCAAAACAGGTTTTATAAGGAGATTTCGATGACAGTTCGGCATTCCAGAGGGTGATCATACGGGAACTGCGCGAGTGGGCGGAAGTGACGATAAAGGGAAGGCGGAGACCGAATAACATTCGACGATTCTGATTGGTCGATCAATTAGCAAATGCGCGGCAAGAACGCGCGGAGTTAATGAAGTACCTATTTTCTGAGCGAGATTGAGTGTGACAGGTCAAGGCTGACCGAATATTTCTATACTGGCTGGGTCTACAGGAAGGTGACTTCGGATTGAAACTCTTCGACTTGTAGATTTGTGACAAGCGGGGAGCCTTGACTATCATTCACAATGGCCCTTACCCCGCGCACAGAACCGATTGAAAATTACTTCGATATTTTCGACGAAATTGGAAGGTGAGTACGGGAGCATGTTGAGTTGTTGCGTGAAATATATCTTAGATTCTTCTGTTCAGCGTTTACGACTAATGGCGTTAATCTTTCACTTTTCAGAGGGCAGTATGCGGTCGTGAAACGTTGTAGAGAAAAGGCAACGGGGAAGGAATTCGCTGCTAAGTTTGTCCGCAAGAGAAGGAAAGGCAAAGACTGCAGAGCCGAGGTCTGGCATGAAGTGGAAGTGTTGAACGCGACGAATTTTCCTCATCAACATCCACAGATAATCACACTTTACGATGTTTTTGAGACCAGGAGCGAGGTCATTCTCATCTTAGAACTGTGAGTATTTCTTCGTCGTTCGAGAATTTTGTTCGATAATTTTATTTTAAGGATAGAGCGGTCTGTGATGTTGACGCTGTGTGTTTTATCCACAGCGCACTCGGCGGGGATCTACATCGGCACTGCATCGCTTACGATAGCGACGAACCTGCTTCGAGTAGAAGCGAAAGAGAAGTGGTGTTTTTACTCAGACAGATTCTCGAAGGTGTCAAACACATGCACGATCAGGACTACGTTCATTTAGACATTAAGGTGAGAAGTGTGAGGCCTGTGGTGTTGATATTGTGTTTGAGTTGTTCTTGCTTCCTAATGTTTGTTTGGGTCTAAATTTTCGTGAGGGCTGTCGTTACGCCTGGAGACTTCAGCAAACATTGAACAGTCAATTTCTTTGTCACAGACAAATTCAATCAATTTACCCAGGGAGATGCTTGTTTGCTCAGCGGGTCGCGCGTAATGAGCGATTTCCAATTACGATTTACGGTTTTGCAATGCATGTACAATTATTCTCGAAAATTGAACATTTGTATATTGAAATACGCGTCTGGCCCTTGCTTGAGCAATGTATGTGGTCTGTTGCGTATTGCTCATCAAAAAAATCATTCTAGACGCTTTAATATTTCACGTCTACAGATCTTCGCTTTTCATTTCACAGGCATTTCAAAGCTCTTTATTAATGAACACGGCAATGATCAACATTTAATGGAAATCTCGTAAATGAGCGTCTACACAAATAAGACTTAATTCCCTTCCGCGGCAACATAACACAGAGCTTATTTGCATTGTAGAATTAGGCGCATATAATGTTTGATACTTTCGATCTCGCCGCCTGGAGCTAAATTAGCCGAAGAAGTCGTTGTTATCAGTTGTAGACATTATGTCATGCGGAGAATGTTTTCTTGTAGACCCGGTTTATACAGTGACATGTCACACTTTTGTTGAGCAAGGAAATAATTTTAAAGTGTTTCCGAGATGCTGCGGTTCTACATATAGAAATCTCAAAGTGGGGTCGGACTTATTCAAGCTTAACGGAACAGTATTTTTTCGTGGGTTTCGTAAAATTATGCCACCTGCCTTGGTTGGTGAGTTTTCATGACAATCCGTGGCACAAAAGATTCATGTTTTCCTCCTTTGTGTAGGAAATGATGTCATTGTCATCGTAATTGAGTGTGACACATTTTTCAAGGGCTCAACTTAATGACTTCCCAATAATTTCATTCCTAAAATATGTTTGTAATTTTGTTTTTTTGCTGCACGCGGTATTGTAAAAATGTTGACCTGAATGTAATCGACCATCCCCGCAGAGAAACATTTTGCATGTCACGGTTAAAACGAAATGTATGTGGACAGACGATAAGGGAAGACTGATTTTCCGTATTGAAATTAAAAGCGTCGGTATAACTTCATTAAATCTGAGTTCGGTGCTGTTTTATTACTTTCCAAGATTGTTTTAACAAACACGACTAGTTATGGTTTTTGCACCCCATCACGCAATCTTATCCTGTCAACAACATGCCCTTATATGGTCTTTACTGAAATACATGGTTAATCAAAGAGCCGGTATCTATCAAAGTACCTAAGAGGTCGTCAAAGAGTTTATTTAAATCTTTTATGTTCTGTTTATATCACACTCAAACCAGATCCTGTTTCATTCTCCTGCCGTCTGCCCCATGCCAAGCATTCCTTCTGTATTCCCTTGAATTTGGTAAATAAGCGAAACAACATGTTAAAAATTATTGTCAACAAAGAAGTGCTCAATACTTGTCTTGCAAACAGCATTTTGTTAGTGTTTTTTAATGTAGCAAAGTGTAAAACTGCAGGTTCTTATTTGTACGCATTCCTGTGCTCTGTGTGAAAGTG